GCCAATTGCCTTGATGATTAAGGCAGTAAGTAAAGACACCATGTTAAGTGCCTGATCATAAACACTATTTCGGATAAATTAAATCCTTGGCTTACATTTGCTCCAACCTGTCTGGCTTATAACTATGAAGTACTGCTTTAAATGTGTTTTCGGTCAATGAAACCAAATATCCCCAGAGTCAGGCATATTGCCTGCAATTTACATCCTCAACTTAGGCACAAATGAAAATATGGGGACTTCTGTTTAAACATAAGAGAAAACCCTTTTTTTTAATACTGTGAAGATGGTTGAACCTGGAACGGGTCACTCAGAGAGGCCGTGGAGTCTCCATCCTTGGAAGTATTAAAAAAACAACTGGACAATCTCTTGGGCAACCAGCTCTGGCTGACCCTGCTTTGAGCTGCAGGGTGCTTGCTCTATACAATCTCCACTGGCCCCTTCCAACCTCAACATCTCTCAATCTGTGTGAATCCTGTCAATATTTCTAAAGCCAAGGGCGCCCTGTGCTAGGAAACACAGCCTCAAACTCCATCCATTTGTTGCATTAAATCTCCTAACCCACATGGATCAAAGACATCTCCTCCTCTTATTATCTGTCCTTTCATTTTGTGGCTGCCCTGTTTGAGAGCTCCTCTGGATCAGCTGTTGACCACAATCAAACCTGTTCTTCTCTTCCAGGGGCTTCTGCACCGCCACCTCCCTGCTCAGAGACACCGCACGGAGGGACCCAAGGCAGGAATGGTCCTTGTAGCCAGGACCCGTCTTTGTCACCACCGCAGCCCTCTCTGTTCTGAACCAAGGTGGAGACCTGCTCAGAGCCTGGGAGATGAGGTGGGACGATGCCTGTTAATACAATCTGCGCAAAAGCTTCAGCCAGCAGACAGGGTTCTGTTCGTGGCATGGTGAGAAGCTACAGCCCTGAGCATCTCTTCCCTTCTTCCAAACTTTATGTCCGTAGTGACCCTTCCGGCATCTTCCCTTATCATCCCAGCACGTGGTTCCTGTCTTCATTCCTTCCTATTCTTACTGTCAGAGATTTTCCCCAAGTTGCTGCTCTCTCCTGCTCTGACTTTCGCAGCATCTTCCTCTCCACAAGCTGCAGACTTCCCCACTTTGATCCCAAATGTCACCTCTGAGGTCAGCCCTCCCTCCTGCCTCACTCCCTCCCTCCCTCTTCCAATCACCCAGCTACCTCCCCCTTCACCATTGCAACAACTCTGACACAAGCCTCCTCTTTCAAAACCTTCCCTATCTGTCCACGCTCACTAATCCTGTCTAGCCGAGCCGCCCTCCCCCTCTCCAACCTCTCCTCTCCACTCTGCATGGTCTTTCCCAGCACACATGGCCCAGTCACATGCCGGTGCTCGGGAGGGTCATATGATGGGCAGGGACCGCCAGGCAAGGCTGTGGCAGGACCCTGTTCGGTGGGACACCTCCATCTCCCACCCCATCCCACGCCCCATGACGGGGCCAGGTGCCTGACCAGGAGCCTGCGGGGACGCGACACTGATGGCACTGGCACGGCACGGGAGGCAGGGGCCGTGGAGCTGCACTGCAAACGCGAATCCTGCACCGTGTCCCAGACCAGGCAGGTCTGCGGCCGCTGCTCCCCTCCCCTGCCCAGCCGGCAGATCTCCGCTCGCACCTCCTGTGTTGTGCTCTGCTTGGGAAATATCACCCTTGCTCTGTGAAGCGTAACACCGACCTGTACGGAAAAGCCCTCTTGTTTTGTCTGTGCCCTGACCTTAGTCTGTCTGCCTGTCCTTGGACTGGGAGTTCCCGGGATGAACATCGGCAGTGTCTGTACATCACAGGCAGGAACACGAGTACAGAGTACTAAGAAATGCCCCAAGCTTTTCTTAATTAATTACAGAGCCGCTGACTCTTCCTAATAACATCCACACGCTCAACAAACACGAGAAATGGGAGAAGTTAGGCAATTGGGAACAAATGGCCAGAGGGTGAAGCAGAGGCCGGTGGGGGACCAGCATCCTCAGGGACACCACATTCTTTCCCATCTTCACATTGCACGCGCTGTGACCGCATGTGATAGATGTCCTTAGCTTTTCACGGGGACACCGAGGAGTGAGGCTGGATTCAGGGATGGGATAACTGATGGGTTCTCAAAAAGTAAAATGTGCAAGTGAATGAAAACCAATAATGAAACAAAAATGAAACAAATAATATTGTCGGTATAGGTAAAGCCAACATCTGAGGAGAGCGGGAGGCTCCACGTATCTCCCGAGGGTGGCCTGAGGCTTTACCCTGTCTCAGGCAGATCCCAGCACTAAGCCCAGCTCAGATTTGAGAAGCAAAAGGTTCAGAAGAGAAGGTAAACGAAAAGCAGGATGCTGGAGAACAAACGATACCCTGGCCGTGATGATACACAGCACCATCTTCCGCTGCTTATTTCCGTGCCCCAAACTGTTGGTCACCCTTTTACTGAAAAAGAGAAGATATCGCATAAAGCCTGTGTTTGTGGTTTAAAATACCATTCCACTTTAATGTGAATCACAGCAAAACATTGCCAAAGGATCTGCTAAAACACAGCCAAATCAGCAATCAGGACTGCAAGGAGAGGGAGAACGTGCACGAGCTGTCTGACCCAACGCAGCCCAGGAAGAAAGAGTTATCTGGGATTTGCAGCCGTAAAGCCTGGGTGCAAATTAGCAATGATGGTGAGAACTACCATTATATGCTTTTATAGGGCTTTGCTACAGCAAGCAGCAAATTATTTGCTTTTAATAAATATCTCCTTTCCTGTGGGCACTGGCAAGTTGAGTGGCACACTCAGAGCTTCCTCGTTTTGGTGTCCATTCGGATTTGCAGAATCAGCTCTGAAAGCCTGAGCGCCACTGAGATCAATTTAAAGTGGCTTTAGGAGTGCTGAAAATCGAGCTCTAGATGGCTGGTTTGGGAGGTTTGCGGAGACGGAGAAGCTGTCAACTTTCGAATTATTCTGCCAAAATACCAACTTGCAAGAGCTTTTAGCTGCTAGTTACCAGAAATGAGCCCAAAGACAGAGCCGTGGCCCGGCCTGACAACCCCTCTAAGCAGGCAGGAGAGCTGCTGCCTGCTCTGCTGGTTCTTAGGGTCTCCTCTCGAGCTGCGGTCCAGCTGCGTGTTGAGTACCTCTCACTGATGGTGCTACCTCATCCACTCCAGACTTGGGCCAAATATCCCTGCAGATATGAAGAAAAAGCACGTGGATAAGGATATGCACACTAAAGCAATCCCTAAACCAAGCAACCGTCCTCCAAACTCCTCTCTGGCCTCTCGAGCACCCTCAGGCTCCACTTACTAAAAAGTCAGGGGAGTAGTGTTAGTAATGGATTTTTTTTAATCTTTTCCCTTTGCTGGATGCAGGAGAGTTAAGGCAGAAGCGCCGGCTGGGGGCTCACCATCCACCATCTGAAGGGTCAAGCGATCACAAACTGAGACATTTCTCCAATCCCCCCCCAAAACAGGACCTCAGAAAGGAGCAGAAGCAAACACCCCCCTGACCACCCACGACACCTCTGCACTGCCAACGGGCTTGTCTCCAAGTCCACGTTCAAGCCCAGACATGCTCAGCATTCATACAGCTTGGATGGAAAAGCGTGGGCTTTGGGTAAAGGCGTAAGAAGAGAGAAAACATACGTCATTCCTCGGCACAGCCCTACAGACATCCCTGTCTGCAGAGTGGATGGAGCAGGCCCACCACGGGGTCTTCTGTCTGACACAAAGCAGCCAGGTGGTTTGGATCCATCTCGGGTACCACGCGACGTGCTGGGAATGACAAGCCGCTGAATTGCACTTGTCCACTTGGACACAGGGAATAGGCGTCAGGACACGCTGAGCTCTTACCGGCTTTCAGCCTGTGCTCCTGCACAGCTCTGCTGTGGCTAGAGATGGGGTAAGATCATTTGAAAGTCTCTGCAAGAACAGCACGCTCCATGAGAGCAACCTGGGGACTAATGCAAGGCATGGGCCGGGGTGAAAAGAGATAAAAACACCATCACAAAAATCACTTTGTGTCACTCAGGCACATCTGGAAAAACGGCACAACAAAGAGAGGCCAAGAAGAAGTTTGTCCTTGGTGAAGGGTGGTCCAGCGGCAGGACCGGAGACCTGCAGTGGGAGGGGGGCGGCTGGTGGGGATCAAAGCCTGCTGGAACCCTCAACTGTGGATGGGGCTGCCCGGGAGCAGGGGAAAAACTTTACAC